CATTTGGAGACGAGCCGTACATCTGACACTTTCCCTTAAAAAAGGCAAATGTATGGTCTTCAAACCGCGGCAAGTCCAAGACGTATGAATTGTAAAATTCAAAGAAATATAAAGTAGAAAGAAGAAAACTTTTTTGGGGGGGGGGGGAATTTTGGATGAAAATCGAAATTGGAATTTCCACAACAATTCTCACCCTTACCCTTACCCTCACCCCTCACCCTTGGTGTAACCCTTACCCTCGTTTTAGCAAGGCCGCTTCGCTCGCAGCCTAACGGCCGGTACCCTGCGAACAGAGTAGGAAAGATCGAAGCACCTCTGCCAGTAGGGTAAACGGCCGCTCGCTCCGCGAGAACAACAAATTTTTGCATGTGCAGCACGCTTTTTGGTACATTTTTTTGCCAGGCACGACCACGAAGTGAATTCTTTTAATGCGACGTTGTTTGGAGGACGTGAAAATAAACACACGATCAATATTCAGGGAATTTGGTGAGTTGTGCCTGCCTCTGAAAAAATCCTGGCTACGCCCCTGCTACGTGACAAGAAAAGAAAGAGAGAAGTTGTCCCTTTATAGCTTATAAACTGTCAGGTCAGATGCTGAAATGTTTCATTCATGTATTTGATGTAAGTTCCATTTCCCCTTCCCCGCTAGCATAGGCCTCTTTCCCTGGTATTCGACGCGCGGGAGGAAAAAAAAGGGATGAGCCTCTTTTTATTCCTCCCTCGCCCGCCCGTCGAAAACCAGGGAAAAGAGCCCGCCTCTGCTAGCAGGGAATATTTCCCCATACACCCAAGTGATCGGATGTATTTTTTAAAAAGTGTGTGTTGTGTGACAACCGGAATTGTGTTACACTAATTAAACTGTGTAAAAAGTAGCGAGTGAAATATGAAATGGACAGCAAATTCGCATTTCATCACGTAGAGTCACTGAAGACTTTAATTTTTAAGTGAAATTTGCACTTTCGTAATTGTTCAAGTGTGTATATAAACAAACTCCTCATGCGCATCCGGAACAAAAGGCGTTTTATATCCTGCATAATTCATAACGTGTAACGGAATTTTTTTTGACATTCCATGCCACCCATACATTTTTCCAAGCTACGCTGCAATGGAGTGGTTTGAGTTAAGCTTGATTCGTGCATGTTTTGCAGCATTTCTTTGCTTTGGAGAAACAGAGGTAAGAAGATTAATTGCCAGAAAACTAACGTTAACAGTTAGAGGCTTAATTGTACGTTGCAAAATTTCAATCGGCCTTCTTAGTAATTTCAAAACAAAACTTAAGCGAGAGTCCATTATGGCTTCTGACTTGAGCTAACGCAGGTACACCTATGTTTTAGGATTACTGACAATCAAGTTGCGCATGAAGTGCTATACTAAGGTCTTTCCATCCAATGCTCTCAAAGCAAAGGCCGGTATTTCAAAAGACTACAAGATCGAGTGTACTAGTATTATAAAATTATATTTACGTGTTGCGAAAGCCTGGGTAAATGGCAACGGCTAGGATGTTGCAGATCTTAATCTTCCACTTTTGCATATCCCTTCCTAGCTTATTAGATTGCCATGTTATCGTTGTTTTTCAGGCCAGAGATTACTGTGGAGAGCTTGATGGAAGGGACATCTATTGCGATGACGGTAATTTTGATTAGAAAGAACTTCGTTGCGGTTTATCTTACAAATGAAAGATTATGCTCTTACAACTACTTGTAGTTGTTTGTAGATGTATTTCATTCAAATGGTTTTACCAAGACTGGGTTTTACCTCAAAGTAGTTTTAAAATGCCTTTTTGACGGTTACATGCCAGTGCACGTTTGCATCGCTTGAATTTTTGGATTGGACTCTTGTAAATGCGGATTATCGGATCTAGTTTGTTGTGTACAAGCAGTAATCTTGGATTCGTAGGTGCAAACCAACAATAAGTTTAAATGATTTTCGTTGTTATTCAAACTGTAAAGTATCGATATTGAGCATTCTTAATTATCTCTCATAGCATTTCTAAACATAGTTTTGTCCAGAGCATGCACTTGCCAGTCATTTGCATTGTGATTTGGGTATCCCTGTACCCGCATTACAGGGGTGGATCCAGGATTTTTCTTAGGAGAGGATACACCACTAAGAAATGGTGTAACTGACTGGTGACATAAACAAATTTTAAAAGTGAAATACAAAGAAGGAGGCTTTTGACTAGGAATAACATAATGTGAACCACTGGGAATACATATCCGCATATTGTGCAGAATACCAGTTGTTTTAGAAAGCCGCAGCTCATCTGCTCCTGAATTACTAGTGACATGGGTATCCATATTCATATTATGCAAAAAAGTAAGTTTATTTCTGAGTGTATTTTATTTCAGGTCAATGCTGTGGAGACTTTGAATGCTGCTCCTACTACAAGTACTATAAAATGTGGTGTAAGTGAAGAATATCATCTGTGTTTACATGATGTGAGCATGACAGTTGTTTGGAAAACAAAACAATATATCGTATTGTTTACTCTCAGGGTTTTGGTTGGCTTGGGGAGTGATTTGTATCTTTGCCTGCTGCTGTGCATATCATCGAAGGCGTAATTTTGCCTACCAGTGGCAGATTAGGAATTTTATGTACCCAACAGTACTGCATGGTGAATCTGGAAACACAGCTTCTTATCAACAATTTGAAAACACTCCAGAATACAAACTTCCTTCATATGCTGAAGTGGAGGCTATGGGCAGTCTGGGTCCCCCTGAAGATGGAGAAGGTGCTCCGCCTCCTTATGTGGATCCAACTGCAAATGAGGAATTACAAGAGGAGAACAATGTTCCACAAGAGACGGTGTAGACTTTTGAAAGTTTTACTGCCAATCTCACCTGATGCAACAGAGGTCTAACTGTAGGAGACCGTATGAGAAGTTTTCATTCTAATGTGTGGATCCCTTTTCAAAGAGAAGGTCTTTAAGAGAATTCTGAGTTAGTAACATGATGTGCATAAGGCTTACTGTTTTCTAACAATGCTTTGTTTTATTATCAAAGTAACCTTTAAGTCTCAAGTGGCCTTGGACTCTCAAGCTAATCTTCATAGTTTAACCCTTTAAGCCCCAGTATCCACATACAAGTTCTCCAAACTGATCTCGATACATTTCCTTAAAGAATGAGTCGAGAGAAGTTGATAAAAGATCAAGGCATTTTTTCTTGGGTGATCACTTTATTAATTCTCATAACTTATTTGTTGACAGTGTTTGGATATTGTTGGGAGAAAATTGATCTTGGTCACTATTGGGACTTAAAGGGTTTATCTAACTGGCCAGTAATAGTTCTCATTATAAAGATAAGAATAGTTATAAAAAAAAATTTTAAATAATTGTAAACAAAACATATTTTGGAGAAATAGCCTTACTTTGTTAATGCCAGTCAGAGCAGAAAAACGTTTTTTTAAAAAGTGTGGAGGGATCCTTTAATATAAATTATGTATGTAAATATTTTCCTTATTTTTACAATAATTAATACAGTATGAAAAATGTTACTGCTTTAACAATAGCTGGTATATTGTAAGGTTGTATAAGAGTTTGTATACTATGTACATATTATTTTGTATCCTGTAGCATGAATTTTTTTTGTCAATTTATGTAATTATGAAATTAAAAAAGGTATTCAAAAATCATGTGAGTAAAATTATATGTAACAACAGGGTTGTCACTAAGATTTCAAGATTTCAAGTAGGCGGGGATTCAAACAGGTAGCGATTCCTTTCTGTTTTATTTTTCTTCTATTTTCAAATGAAAGTAGCCAGGGCCCACATTCATTGTAGCCAGGGAAAATGCCCGGATCCTGGATCTTAATGACAGCCCTGTAACAATCTTATTTACTTTTCTGGGTGTCAAGTTTTTTTTCCTTCTCTCTCGCTTCCTTTTTTCTCTTTATCTATAATGTAAATTCTCCTTTTTGAGTTTTCAACCTTTCTTTAAACTGGCATACAAAAATATTACATTTTAGCATATGTTAATAACTTGTCCTCTGAATATATGATAGAGTTTGACATACAGAGTTTCAGATACTATCTGGAAACATCCATCTGCTTATCTGTCTTTTGTCTTTGTCTTTCTTTTTTTGTGTGTTGTAAAAGATGAAATCTGCAGTTATATTCTTACTAGTAACCTTCATGACTTGCCAGGCAGTGTTTTCTAAATTAATGAGTTCCCCACAGCTACTAAAAAACATTGTTGGGTGTAGATTGAATCAGAGGATGTTGGTTAATGGTATAAAAGCAAACAAAATTTTTAGAGGTTTCTTAACATACACATAGCTGAGGAATGAACAAACCTGTGCAGCTACATTTATTTTAACAATAAAATAAAAATTCCAAGGGGTTAGCAGCATGCAAAGAACGCTATGTCCATGGATGGATCTTGCCTTCAAACTAGTGAGTGTTTGACTAGTGTTTTGGGGGGGAATTCAAATTATAGAAGAACTATAATCAATCCTGCTGCTCTGATTTCTTCAGGCTAGTTTATGACCAGTACATGCTACCTACAGCTTGCACTCGAAAGGCAAGCTGTAAAACTGACTTTCTTTGCACCCTGGTATCAAAGTTAAGAAGAAAGAGGACTGTCCGGGTATTTAGTGATCTTTCAGTCTAACTCCCATCAAGCAGTATAGACACAAAGGTTACTAGAGAAACTATACTTATTTATTTTATTTTTTAACAGAGCATTTCTTTATGTCAGATAGCATACATTTTATTCATATAACAACTCTTCTTCTAAAGTCAATGTAAGATATGGAGTTTCTGGCACTATCTGGGTGTGTCCCATGATGTTTAAATCTTTGCCAAAGCTTTGCCTTTTGTCTTTTCCTTGTACCTTTAGAGAGCTGAAAGGTGAGGGTTTTCTTTCTACATTTTTTGTTGACAAAGGGGAGATATCCAGTAGAGGTGTCTCAGGCACCATGTTACAGGTTACTTTTTCATTCTGATGTAATATTATTTTACATTGTGGTTTTCCTGAAGTACTTGGTACTTGCTGAACAAGTGGAGTTTCGGGAACTTTAAAATCTTGGAACATAGTATTGGTACCATCATATGGGGTAGGACTTGACATCTGGGGATTTATAGGCGGAATTGCAGTATGCTTTGCTCCAGATCTGATAAAATGTGATGGAAATTCTTGTGTTATTTGAGATTCTTTTAAAAGCTGGAGTTTTAGGAACTCTGATGATAAGGGCTGCTGGTTCTCCTTCTTCATGAGAACCTTTTGACTTGACTCTTTGTCTATTTTTGGGCTTTTTGACGATTTCATTGACATTCCTGCATAAAAAAAAAATTGTTTGCAGAGGAATTGCACTTGGATTACTAGTTCTCCCTTGTTTTTTCCAGGAAGCATGAAAAGTGCCACCCACATAAAAGCTGACTAAAATTTGCTCATAGTCCATGGATACTGTCTTGTAATCCAGGAAACAATTTAATCACTGTCTTGCATACAATGTGAAAAGCAGAAAACTTTTCAAGCCTGTAAAATAAATCTATTTTATTTTTTCTTAATTGATTAAATTAAATTTGATGAAGTTATCAACCAACCATGTACAGATCTAGAAATAACAATTACACTATTTACCTTGTGGTTTCCTTATATCTTGCAAGTCTGCAGGGAAATTTTTAGGTCCACTTATACCACTGCCGTCTAGCTGTCCCAGGTGAAAGCAGGCATCAAGGTTTTCTGGAAATGACATTTTATCTGTGAAGGAACAAATACCAGTGATGGAACAGGTAAATTTCTCAAGCAAACTGTAGTGTCTGAAAAACAATTTTCTTGTTTGGTACATAATTAACACTGATCATGAGTATCAGGGTATCTCCTCGAGGAGATACCTGAAAACATTATTGCTAGTGTCAAATGAAAAGTGGGAGTGTTCCAACTGACCTAAAGATTTGTTTTTAGTGTTTTCGTTTTCCATCCAAGTAATTGTTCTCAATCTAATGTTTCCCTGCAACATAGATGGAGAGTAACCCTACCTCCTGGCCCCTGTGGTTTGATGGCGTTATCCACCTTTAGAACTGGGGCCTGGAGGGCTTCCCGGTCTAGCTGTAGAATGGCCAAATGATGGCAAGCTCCCCTTTGTAAGTGAGAGGGCGTAACGCGAGGGCTATCTTGAATCAAGTGTGGACAAAATGTCAGACAATTTGCTTGCACTCGTGTCTTCTGTTGTAGCTTTTCAGTGCTCTGTGATCTTGAATTCAAAAATGTTCATGAAAATACCACCTATTCACAAACTTTTAGCGCGCATTTATTGCAGCTTGATTACGCTTGAGTTGACGGCCCTTTTGGAAGGGTTACCCCAAATCAAACAAAGGCGAAAAAGTTGATCCTACTTGGGCCAGTGGGGTTAGCCTAGTAAAAAACCTGGTGACCATATTTCTGTACAAGGTGTGAAGTGATAGTGACTGGTGCTCTTACCGACTAATATGCCTTCACAGCCTTTTCTTTTCTTTGCAGCGCGGGCAGAATGTAACTTTTCGTGGAGTTTTCTTCTAGTGATAACAATATCAAGAGGCCTGAACTGTTTTTCTTTCATCGAACCTTCTTTGGTACATCTGGTTGCTCTACTGCAAAGTTTACTTTCTTCCAAGTTTTCTTTCAGCTTTAGTGCACTGTTATCCAACAAGAAAGAACAAAAGAAGAAGCTTCAATGTGGTCAATATAAAATAATGGGCTCAGCATGCCTTGCGAAACCTTTCGAACAGAGGCTACATTTTCGCGCTGTGAACAACAGATAAAGACGAATTTTTGGCTTACCTTCTCAATACAAGAGGTGTAGGTTTCGGCTTTGGAAACGGTATTCTTTCATTTTTACTGCAAGTTCATCGAATAGAAGTTTTTTACGAGCTCAATAAACGATCAACTTCAAGCAATAAGCTGCAAAAAGGACTAGCAAATTACCTTGACAAAATAAATAACGCCGCCATTCTTAATGTAAGTCTTATATTGGGTTTTTCGCCATACATAAATAGCATTTGCTCCTTGACATTCCCTTCATATGAGCTTGAAATTTGGGGTGAAAAGAAAGTATGAAGCCGATAAAGACAAAAACAAACTACAGCGTATTGAAAATCTCCTTAGTTTTTGACATTCTTCAGAGCTAACTTCCTCCCCTTTTCGTCCATTTTCCCGCCAAAAGATGGTCGCTATCCGTAAATTCCCGCCACGAATCTCGTATTCTGGGCGCGATCCATTCAACCAAAATTCCAACCGGTCCGACCGGGAAAATTGGTCCACCTCAAAAGGTGGACCCGTTTTTTCGAAACTTTTCCGGTTGGACCGAACCGATCCATTGAGTTTTGGACCGAAATTTCCGGAAATTTTGGTTGAATGGATCGCGCCTGTATCCAGAGTGATCCAGAGTAAATAATCCACAGTCTTCTGGCTTTTTGTTAGGGTCTGTGGGCGGCTTTGTGGGCTAAGTTGGCGGAACGAGCGAATGCCGGGAAACTAGCGTGGGACTTGTACGTAACCAGCCAGCTAACTGATAGTTCAATTGTGTTTCTTTAAAAACTACGGTTGTATACCATTTACACATCCTCGGAGACCCAGGGGCAGATAGTGGGGGCGAGGGAAAGTCTAAACGGGCGGAAAAATATGGCACGAAGAGAAGTAAAGAACGCCGATGCCATTTACAAGAAGTTTCCGGAAAATCCCGTTTAAAAGTAAATGGAAAACTCCAGGCAACTTTTCGTGTCGAGGACAGTGGGAACATCTGAAAAAGTAGTCTTGTTTATCAAGATGGAATGTTTCCTAACGGAAATTGGCATAGGCGTACGGGCAATTTTTTGTCAGGGGGGGCGGTAAACTATTTGCCCAAAAAATTCTTGCAAGTTGCCCAAATTTTTACAAAACAGTCGAACAGAAACGAGGGCCATACGATGCAACAACATAGGTCGTACTAGCATATGAAAGTGGCTCGATACAGTTTTTCAGGGTCAATACTTGTGAAGTTTTTTTTGAGCATAGACTACGACACCATAAACAAACATTTGGAAAAATTGCCATCACAGTCGTATTACATAAAGATGAAAATTTGTTGTGATCCAGGTTGCAATAACATCGGAGTTGTCATAGCAACCAAATGATGCCAGTACCTATTATACTTGCAGCAACATTTCTCACTGGGAACTGTTCTTCCAAAATCGCTCACGGAAGCATTTTCCTCCAATAGTCGCCTCGATGTTCGTGAAGTTAAAACGGAATCTGTAAGAGCGTTGCGGAGATATTTTGGGATAAAGTTTCTATCGTTAGAAATACGGTAAAAAAGGAAAATCTTGATGTTTGGCCGTTATCTGTAGAAAACGAAGCGCTTTTGACATGCAATTTCACCTCATAGTAGTTTCAATCTTTTTAAAAACGTGGGTAAAAGATAATGGAGATAGCTCTGGCCAAAAAAGGATTTGAGTATTTAGTATGTATCATGGCGCTCTTGTTAGCGGTTTTGTAAACATTTCGGTCTACTTTAACAAATTAGTGAAAAATCTTTAAACCACTCGATAGATTTTTTTGTTAAAAAATTACGATTCTTCGGGCAATTCAAACCGAGAATTAGTCAGCCACTTCTTCACTTTCAGACCCATTGCTGATGCTGTCTGCCATACACTGTTCTACGAGTGGAGATGATTCTAGAAAGTTAGGCGGAAGTTTATTCTAATCAATTCACGACTGGAAATAGCCCATTGCAGTACAGTGCCCAACAATAAAAAAAAAACAGCACATGATACCCTTCCCTTATAACCAGAAACTCATTACGTGCTAGGCAACCACTGCCTCGTGTGAATGTAATAGTACTGGATTATTACGCCAACTTCAGGTTAAAATAGAAAATATTTATCTCTTCAAAATAACGATTTAAAAAACACGGAAACGTCTTAAAAAACTGGCTTTGCCCAATTTTTCTCTCGCTGCCCAAAAAATATGAGTTGCCCAAAATTTGGGGGGGCTGCAGCCCCCCTCGCCACTCCCCCCCGGCCCGTACGCCTATGTTCAAATTGGGAGTCTACCATTTCTCAAAATCCATCAGTTTGATATCAGTTTCAGTTTACCAGTTTTTTTTTGTAAACCTTGTGGTCTTGGATGTGACAGTATTTTGGGTCCAGTCAGGAGCACATCAGACCCTGGCCCGGAAGAAACAAGAAACGTGCTCATGCTCTGACTGGTGTCACTGATCTCAGCGAAAAATCAAACAGTGCAGCCAATCAAAATGACCGAAAAGAGTTTTTAGCTTCAGGGAAGTTAAGGTTACCTTCGGGCGGTAATGTAGCACGTTTCGGTTTAATGGTAGACCCCCAAAACCTATACCAAATTAAAGCTTATTAAACTGGCTTTCCTGATATACCAACAGCTTTTTGAAAAAAAAAATGCACTGTTGAGTTTTTTGGGTTTTTTAATGCGAACGTCTGAATCTGCTTCCGAAAGCTAACTCATGCACACCAATGTTTAAATTTCACTAATTTATTTGTTCCAGTCTTTTGGAAGTCAAAGCCCTAAAAAAACGTTGTCGGGGTTTTCCCAATTTGGATTGCAATCAGAAGTTACAAAACAAATTGGAAATATCGCTAAAAAGAAGTTGGATGATCGTACAAAAGGTTTTAACAAACAAAAAAATTTCCCGACATTTTTTTGTTGTTTAAGGTAAGGAAAAGCGCGCAACAAAAAATGTACAATTTGTCTTGCAACATTGCTGCAAAACGAGTTGAATAGCGATGTTGCGCGTTTTACCACCCACGTTCAAACCTGTTAACAGCCTGATTTGTTGCAAGACAGGTTTGATGTGGGTGATAAAACACGCAACATCACTATTTAGCAGCAATGTTGCAAGACGAGTTGCACGTTTTTTGTTGCCTACTTTTCCGTACCTTCACACATTAAAGTAACAATCCCCAAAATTCTAGGTCAATCGAACAAATTAAATTGTCCCCTCTGAGTCGAAAAATATCTCTCGCTTCGTGTGATGGTGTTACACGGGACGATTCGCCGCGACGATTTTCAGTGCAACACAGCGTTGCAATGTCTTAACAGGGTTGCAACACCGTGTTTCACTAAAAATCGTCGTTGCGAATCGTCTCGTGTCAGTTAAAGATCACCTTAAACAAACTCCGCCCACAAATACTTCTTAGGAATCTGGGCCAATTGGTGCTTGGATAAGACAACATCCGTTCAATTTTCGTGCACTTTTACTTTCAAATAGCTCGGGTTTCGACTTTCGAGCCTTGTTTCAAGGTTTTTCTTTGTTTAACTACATTGGCAAATAACTGAGACCAAAAGCTATAATGGATCTAATTATGGCTCTTGCTGAAACAATACTCATTTATTATTTTTATGTAGGGTGACTCTGACTACTCTGAGCACCTATTTTTTAAGAGGACATAATATGCTCTGTTTGCCTAAACCATTAACCACTTCTTATGGTATCAATTCCTTTAGTTACTTGGCAGCAACATCTTGGAATTTTCATCCTCACCATCACCGCACTATTTCTGATTTTACTTCTTTTCGACGACTGATATCTACTGGGAACAATAATTTACTTAAAAGGGCAGGAACTGCAAACCTTTCTACATCAAGATATTTCAGGGGCACCCAACGAGAATATAGTTCAAAACCACTTAAACATAGCATTGTTAAACGTATTTTAGTATTTAAACGGTAGATATAGGCATATTTTTATCCCCTAAAAATTTTTCATCTGTTCGCATTTCCTAGCTGAAAGTCTAATGATCCGAAAATTATCGGGATCAAAACTTACCTTTTCGAAAATTTCAGCCAGAAAAAAGGCTCCCGAAAATTCTAGGTGACCTTTTTAGGGTAAAAGTCCATTAAAAATGGGCGATTATACCATTTTTCATGCGTTCGAAAATCCTAGGAGAGGCAGGCAAGCAAGAAATTTTACAACAAATGTTCCGAAAATTGTAGATCTCAAATCGTCTTCCGAACAGATATTTTCCGAAAATTGTCGTTGGGTGCCCCTGATAATTTGCAAGTTAGTTGTCTAGGTAGTTAGTTATCTTATTTGTTATATAGAATTAACTTTTTATTATAATTATTTATCAACGTAGTTGGCTCGAAGATATTAGCAGTTGAGTGCTACACTGTAAGATCGAGGGTAAATAAAGTTTATTGATTAATTGATTGAGTAAACATGAAGCGCTCCACTCAGCTAAGACAAATTGGTCAAAGCATTCTTTTTTTTTTTTCTTATTGCCTATCGAAATTTCTTTCAGTTGCTTCTTTAATATTCTTCTGTCGTGTCGTTGTTCATTGAGATTCCCTGATTATTCATCCAACGACAACGGAAATTTTCGGGAAAAACACCATAGTATAGCGCTGTCAATCAAAGGAGTGACTTTTACTTCCGGTACAAACGAAAAACTGTCATTTCTCCGCCAATATCTACACTTCAATTTTTTCTTTTTTTCTCATAAAGATCACTCTAACACCTTTACTATGAGCCAAAAATAAAAATTTTAACAAAATCTTTCATCTGAAGGTATCCGGTAACCTTAAAATGAGACTTCCTTTTGACCTTCGTTTGGCGTCAGATGCGAAGGACAGCGGAGCGGCAGAAGGCAACTTTTTCTGTTGTTCCCCTTATCTGAAAGCTTGGAAAAGCTGCGATTATGCCACATGAAATGTCAAACTCTACTAAGCGCTCATTGTCGTTATTATTTGCTTGAAAGATAAATATGTAAACGAGACAAACCACTTATATTGCCTAATAAATAATCATTTTGTATCAGTTTGAAGGTGTTGGCATGCAATGTGACCAAAGGACCTGTGATCAAATTGCAGAGGTCACAAGAATCCCGCATTTTAAGCAAATTATGTGATTATTTCGAAAAAAATTGGGAAAAATCGGGATTTTTGGAATAAATGTCGAGATTTTTCGAGATAAAATTGGGATTTATGGTCAATTTTTGGATAATTTCCGGAAATCAAGTATCCGTTTGCAGGCTACTTGTGGGCGTGCTCTGGGCTTTTTTTGGCTTGTTCCAGAAGGGTCAAAACGTTCAGATTTTCTCCCTTCTCCCTCGCTTTCTCTTGCGCCCTTTTGCGCCAGGGGGCGAGTAGTCTCCCTCGCAGCCATTTTTTCAGTATCGTCGACAATCGTCCACAGTATCGTCACAGACAATGTCACAGACTAGGGGGCGAGTAGCCTGAATTTCATCCGATTACTTCGATTCGTTATTACTCCCTCAGTAACGTCGTTGTTGAGAGGAGAAAACGACTCGCTAGGGGGCGAGTTGTCCGCTCTTTTTCGCCCCAAATCTCTTGAAACAGCTGAGCAAATGGCGCGTACGCTAACAGGAAATGCGACCTTGGAATTGCCGCGTGCAGCCAAGTGCTGTGAAATCGTACGCTCAGGACAGAAAGTAGTTAACTGCCACCGCTGCCAGGTATTTCTTGTACTTATTATTTGCAGTCTTTTTAACTTGTACTACTTTGGCCACTTACGATCCGCCCAGTATTCGGAAATCAACGGGTGCACGTGGTGGTGAATACTACTTGTACTAGTAATTGAAAATTGTGGTGCGTCGCCCTAGGGAATTACACGCACCCAGCTGGGATTGTATAAATATGGTCATTGCTTTTCTGATCAGGCTTTGATCTGCGAAATATTTAGAAAAGAAAGAGATTAATCTATGAAATATTTAACAAAGAAGAGGATTTTGCCTTGCCATAATGCGTCAGCCAACTCCAACTGAACCCAGTCCTCGGGCATTAGCATTTTTTTTCTCAGGAGCAGGGACTCATGAGCTGCCGAATCCCCTGGGGTGGGTACCAAAAAATGAGGGCAAATTCCCTGTCCTCGATCAACACTGCAACATTTTTCATTGACTGCACAGAAAAGTAGTAATTATTCGATAACAACCAATCAGTGTTAAGTCAAAGAATGCGCACTGTGTGTCAGCCTATCACAGCATGTTCCCAAGATCTTGGGAACCCAGCGGGACGCTTGAACACGACGGATTAGTGACGGCGTTATGCAGAGGTCCCTTTTCGGCGTGCAACAAAGGAAATAGGAGACGTCTGCACGCAGCAACACCAGATCCTGACAAGATGAAGAGCATATTTAAATCTTTTTGTCATTCTGTAGTCAACAAAGGACAACAGATTGTACATATGTTATTAGGAGATAAGTTCAAGGTTAGAAATCAGTGCTATGTTTCAGACATGTATCTACAACAAGAAATATTAACCAATGTTACTTGGTGTTTGTTAGTTACAGTAGTTGATACCCCCCCTGTCATTTTAGAAGTTTCCCATTAGAATATTCTGTAAACAGTAAAAGAGACTTGTCCTCCTCATTAAGTATCAAATTTGTCATGAATTCACTACACTTGATTATTACCTGTGTTGTTTTGCTAAAATTTCCCTTAAAATGCTTTTCTGTCTTTGTTGCTGTTAGGAACAGTTAGACATCCTGAGAATGCTTTTATCCAACGCTCTCTTTGATGAGAAGTTGGAGCAGGTATGAAATTTAATTTAAAAAAACTCTTTAATAATTCATATAGAAAAAACAAAAGAAAGTAATGTTTAACGAGTGTCTTTGTATCTGATAAAGGCTTGGCTAAACTTTATGTCCCAATATTACATTACATTCAGTCCCACCCCCACCTCCCCCCCACCCAAATACTTGCCTCCCCGTAGCTTGTCTTGAAATGGATGACTTTTTACGACGTTTGTTTCGATCAAATTCAAAAAAGTATTTTGAGAAGCACCGATGATGTAGCTTAATTTAAAACACTTTTTCAGTCCAGTTATAAGCCCCCCCACCTCCCTCCCCCTTTCCCGAATATAAGCCTTCTTAAAACCCCTTAAAAAATTGTATAAATACGGGGCTTATAATCTGAACCAAGAGAGGATAAAGGGGCTATCCTCTCTTGTCCGAACTTAACGGTATTCGCAATTTGGCGGCTAGAAACATACCCTGTAGACCAAGGATAAGCGTTGAGTTGAATCCCGTGTTAATTTTTTTTTTTCGATAATGACGACGTCTAACTAAGGTTCCTTTTTTATTCTTGTTGCCAAAAAGATTGCTGCTGTCGAGCCACATATCCAAACTCGGTTTAGAAACTAAGCAGGATAACGAGAGTTTTTATCCTTTTCCCATAACTTTGATTTGTCTTCATCTGTTCTTTCTTTTGTTCCTGATAAACCGATTTGTGTGGTCATTTTGCAGACTGACGATGAGCACAGCAAAAAAAACCAAGAATGTCCATCACTACCCACCATTCGCCGTCCCATTCCCATTCGCCCCTGGCCTATTTGTCCCACCCTTCCCAGAACCACCTCAACCACCACCAGCAGCATCACGGAGACAGTGTAAATATTGTAAATTATAGTGTTTAAAAAAAAACATCTTGTAAATATGTAAAACTGTAAATATTGTAAAAAGGAAAATGAGGACGACAAATTGTAAAATAAGCATGTTCAGTTCTGTTAGCAGCATTTTCACTTTATTTCTTATTTGTGTAAATTTCATTTTAAAGGGACAGTGTCCCGATTATGCGCACGCGCGAGCGTCATCTGTTTTTTCTTCAAAAGACAATAGAACTGTCAAATTGACTCGACAAGATTTCCTTCCGGACCGCACCGCCGACAGAGATTTGTTGTTTCTCAAGTAATATTTTAGACTTTCGAAGACGTCTTTCGTCTTATATAAAAATTTGGCTCGCGGTTCGAAGACTCATCGCGATTTTATCGCTAGCTGGGCCGCCTCACGACCCGAAAATCTCGTTCCGCTCGCTTTAAAAACATATTTTCTAATTTGAAACTCGTGGCAGAGGTCAATCGCTCCAAGTCCAGTAATATCTTCCTGATTTGCTCGCGTTCTAGCCTCAAACGTTTGAAAGACATAAATAAAAATGCAATCTCAACGCTATGAATCATCACAAAGGTTAGTCAAGAATGATATTATGATTCATGTCACTAGTTTTTCAAAACGTGTAGCGCCTGTTTGTTCGTTTTCGTCGGCCGTACGGAGATTCATTTAAAAGTTTACTAACGCGTCGTTGCTAAACATTCAGCTTCACGAAGCTCCCCTTCACAAGATCTCCTCAGTCACATCAATGTCTCAACGGTTTCTTTCTTACAGTCTTTATTGTTGCTGTTTCATTTCTGCGTATTCCTTTCACAATTATCTGAGCTTGTATGGAAGCTAGCAGAAGAAATAAGCCTTCAATCGGCATCAAAGTGCTTCCAATCTTTTGGTCCTCCGGCAAACGGCAATAAAAGTAACGCCAAAAAATCCAGATTTTGCCCAAATCGAAACTTAACAGGAACAATATATCATTGATCTATAGTCCTGAGAAGTTTTAGTGTCGTATTGAACCCGGCCAAGCGCGATGCAAACGGATTTTTCAAGATTCTCTTACTCTCCTCGCATCTTTTGATTTCGCGACATCCTGTCCAAAAATCAAAGTTTGGTGCATGCGCAGTAACGGGATACTGTTCCTTTAATTTGCATTTTACAAAAAAATTGTTTTCGCGCGAAAACTTGGTAGCCGCTCGCCAAAAGACCGCTGATAATTATTTGCTCGCGGGGGATCATTTCTCGTATAATCCATCATGGCCGCCGCAAATGAATCTCACTCGTCTCAAATCTCCATAAAGCAAGTATCCCCAGAAAAAGGAAAAGGCCTTTTTGCTAATACAAATTTCAAAGAAGGAGATATTATTTTTGAGGAAAAGCCATTGGTTTGCTGTCAGTTTTTGTGGAATGCTTTGTACAAATACACGGCTTGTGGCTTTTGCATGAAATCTCTTGAAACAGCTGAGCAAATGGCGCGTAGGCTAACAGGAAATGCGACCTTGGAATTGCCACATGCAGCCAAGTGCTGTGAAATCGTGCGCTCAGGACAGAAAGTAGTTAACTGCCACCGCTGCCAGGTATTTCTTGTACTTATTAGTTGCAGTCTTTTTAATTTGTACTACTTTGTATTTTATATTTTGGCTAATTTGGCCACTTACGATCCGGCTAGCCTCCCCCGCAGACGTTTTTAGGGGAGATCGTATTTCTTCCCTCCCCTAAAAACGTCTGCGGGGGAGGCTACGATCCGGCCAGAGTATTCGGAAATCAACCGATGCACGTGGTGTACATGTACTAGTAATCGAAAATTGTGGTGCGTCGCCCCAGGGAATTACACACCTAGCTGGGATTGCATAAATATAGTCATTGCTTTTCTGATCAAAAAGCGTTGATTCACATCGATAGCTCCTTTTTATCGCTATGTAATTCTGGCTTGATAAGCAGTGAAGAAATGCATGCATAAAATCAAGAACTTTCCTTTTTAACCCTTTACAATTTTTTTCCGTCCTTGACAGATGAGCCAATCTGCTTGCTTTTCCAATAAAATCCTCTGTGTAGTTATATTCTGATAGGAAATCACATGCATGTCCAAAGTTCGGGGGTGGTCCCAGGCTGGTAATGCCCGACCCCTGGGCAGCACCCAATTTGCTAATGCCTTACCCCCCAGGACTGACAAGACTGGCAAATGCCCCTCAGGAGCCCAGCGGGAAGGGGGCTGGGTGCAGCTAGAATTGACTGATACGTAAAACCACAAGGAACATTATGAAACATTCTGGGCAAGATGGTATTGAGACTTCCAAGATGCTATTGTGACATTTTAAGATGGTGCAGATTTTGAACTGAGAACCTGTTTTCTTGATTTCTCAGGCTTAGGAACACTTTGCACAGACTGCCCACAAAATCACAGAACACCCAAAGACTCAATTAGGGAGTGTTTACCTCACTGACATAACTAATGACATTAAGTTGAGGGTTCTTTTTAAATTAGGTAATTACCAGACATACACAAAATATTAATTATAAACCGACTGCGAAGGGAGTGCTTATTAGAAGGTGGCTTTCATACATTGTACTAGGAATTTCAACCTCAAGTTGACATTAATGTCATCTTACAGTTTTTGTCTGCTCATTTTGTATTGTTAAGAACTTTCAACTTAAATCTAACATTTGTAGGTTGCCATGAACATGTTCTAAATCTCTGTATTGACATCTTTTACTCCAAATAATAAGGTGACTTTTGCATTGCAATCTTTAGGTGACATATTGCAGTGAAGAATGTCAACAGACTGCTTGGGAACAGTATCATAGAATGCTTTGCTTAGGAGAAAATCAAGGGGATCCTAGTCATCCACTTGAACAGCTGCAAGAAGCATGGAGGTTATTTTCCTGATAAGAACATTTACAAAGTTAATACAACTTTTTTTAACTTTTTCTTTGTCTTTGGTGTTTTGTAATTATAAAGGATTTTGTTAGGTGGTGTAAAATGATTGTGAGAAGGGGCAGAAATCTTAATGTGAAGAAGGTATACTCTCTAAGTGGTAATCTCTAATATGGTCTTCAATAGTGGTATGCTATCTCCAACTAAGCTGTCGTTTGAGTTGCCAACTTATCATAAAAGAAATCCCAGCAACTCTGTACAAGGCCACAGGGGTTTGATTGGCTACTGTTACGTACTGTACCAGTCAATTTTAACACCACCCATCCCCTGGTCATTTGACTGGAGTTTTGCTTCATAGAGTTGGTGAATTGACCCAAAATGAGGGCAGTTTTGTTATTCACTAGTACATTATTTAATGTAAAAAAAGGATAGCTTACTCTTTTAATCATTTGTCTGAAGCTCTTTTGACATTTGGTAATGGATGATTAATCAGGAAGATGCACTATCCCCCAGAAACAGCAAGTTTGATGCTCATTGCGCAGATGATTGCAAAGGTTTTGCAGGTAAGTTTCACCAAGTCTACCCAGCCCTTTATCTGACTCCAACCATTTTATGCTGCTGTCCCCATACAGTCAAACTTTATCTGGACCTTGATTATTTAGAGTCCTCTAATCCCAATACAAGATTTTGAAGATCCAAGGATATGATTATTTTGGGTTTGTTTTCCTTTTAAAGAACATAGGTAAGGTTTGTGTACATTGTGTAGTGAAGTTAAAGAATTTGTGACACTTTGTACAATGAATCGTGACTTGTTAATCTTGAGTGAACAATAGATCAATTACTAGCTTGATAGGAACCGGAAATATGATCCCTATTGTGTAAGCAAGCGTGCAAAAATGTGCATCGTGTAAAGTAGATAGTTAGATGTGCTTTCCGATCGGAATAGCGTAAAAGCTATAAGCTACACCCTTTAAACTGGTAGGATTTTGTGTAGGATGGAATGATTACTCAAACCTAGCCGCTCAGGATTGACGTAAGTAATGTAGGTGTAATAGTGTTTTAAGCTTTCAATTGAATTAGGGTGTTTACTAGAAAGGAAACCACATGCATTCCCTACTATATTTTCCCACATATGATTTAGCTACCAATATGTAAAGTACCTTGATTTAGCAATAAACGATGAATGTGATCAGGACTTGAGTGTGTGCAAGTCTCTTAGAGTGCTGATAGCCCGAAACCGGCTAGGTCTAGAGATACTCAAGCAGTCAACACTTATCTGTTGGCCACGAAATCAACTCCCGTTTACAACAGTTGTAAGTAATGGAGCACATTTAGCTGATTGCCAAACTTCGGTACCACAGATACATTGTAGTAAGTACGCAAATGTTAGCAGGTGTTGCTGGACAGTTATCTGTGGAAAATGGTGAAAGTAGCACCCAGATATCATAGTTCTATTGTGCAACTTGCAAGAATCTTTTATGTGCTTGTAGGCACCAGATCCTGACAAGATGAAGTGCATATTTGAATCTTTTTGCCATTCCGTAGTCAACAAAGGACAACAGATTGTACATAAGTTATTAGGAGATGAGTTCAAGGTTAGAAATTAGTGCTATGTTTCAGACATGTATTTACAACAAGAAATATTAAGCAATGTTACTCGGTGTTTGTTAGTTTAAGTAGTTGATACCCACCCTGTCATTTTAGAAGTTTTTTGTCCTTCTCATTAAGTATCCAATTTGTCATGAATTCACCACACTTGATTGTTACCTGTGTTATTTTGTTAAAATTTCTCTTAAAATGTTTTTCTGTCTTTGTTGCTTTTAGGAACAGTTAGACATCCTGCGAATGCTTTTATCCAATGCTCTCTTTGATGAGAAGTTGGAACAGGTATGAAATTGAATTTTAAAAACTCATCAATAATTCATAAAGAAAAAAAACAAAAGAAATTAATGTTTAATGAGTGTCTTTATATCTGATAAAGACATGGCTAAACTCTATGTCCAATTTTTTTGGACCAAAATAACCCCAGATCTAAATATTAGTACAAGAGTGAGTTGATCTATATCAGGTGATACCTGATAATACACTGCGGGTTGTTTTTTAAACATTACTTGAAGAACTCTGTTTTCTTGATTGGTATTAATGGAAAAGATGAGTGGCGATTCCTGCCTTCAGTTTTCATTTGCACCAATGAGTAATAACTTACAATGTACAAAATGACATCCATTTCCTATCTAATTTGATACAGTCAAAGAACTAATTTTCTTGTGGGAGCAGTAAGGCTTAATCATCCTTTTTTAACACCAAGTAATTTGAACTTACTGGATTTCATTTCTTGATCACTCAAGCGATTTTCATGAGATGTTTTTTGTCATTAGTGATTGAAATAGCCCATGGTTCAGGAGTTCGCCCAGATCCTGGGATTGTGAGCCTCTGCACCTACTCTGATTGAAACAGGATGTATAGATTGCACAAGAAATTGTCAAATCCACAGTTAATCTTCGTATTTCTCAGCCTACTTCAAAAATAAAATAACAGCCCATATACACCTCCTTTCTAAATGAACACCGGTCTGTAAAAAAAAATACCCTTCCACCAGATGATACAAAATTCATATTTCCTTTTTGCTGCATCTTCTACAAATACAGAACTTGGTTCTGTCCATTTGCAACCCTTTGTTAAGGGGCATTTATTTTGATCATCAATTTTATAGTGGTTTAAACCAGAGGGCTTTCAGTCTCTGATGGCACTTATTGGGACTAATGGACAAGGTATTGGAACAAGGTAAGCATGATTATTAGGTGAAACACAAATATGTGCTAGAGATTTAATTGACTGAAAAAGAAAATCAACAGATATGTTCCAACAAAATCATCATCAGTACATGAAAAAACTACAAACAAAATTAATATTTAATGATTGTGTATAAATAATTATGATTAAACAGGGAAGATTTTTTAGCTCCAAATCCTTCTTACCAAAAGAGATCAAAACATTAGGGGAAAAATAACATGTCTACTGAAACACTTGAAAACTTGAAGCAGTTCTTCAAACTTTCAGCTTCTAGCTTTCATTTTACCAAGTCTTAAACCACTAAGTAATCAAGTCCCAGGATTTCAAAGTACTGGAAACAATTACTGTTTCCAGTACTTTGTTCTTACTGTGTTCGAAAAACAATGGAACTGAAAAAACTGTATCCTGTACTACTCTGATGACATGTTTAGCTGGAAAACATTCAAAGTTTAAAGGGCATTAGTCAAATGTTCACATAAATAGTAGGCAACTGTTTTGCACCTTGAAGCATCTGGCCTGAAATATTCTTTCCAAGTGTTATTAAATGTTATTAAAGACGTTCTGCAGTTATAAAAATCCAAAAATAATATCTTAGTCTTAAAGCAAGTGTGCTGTTTCTGAACAAGAAAATATTCCTGAAAATGAAGTCATTACTAAATGATTAGCAGAATGCGCTGATCAAAAAACATATCAACATCTTAAACCTTTGGCAAGGCCGTTTCCATTAATAACTGTCAAACTTGAAATGTTTGGTCTCCTGTTAGAGCATGTTTTTTTGTCAAATGTTTTTTATGTCTTACTTATCTTGATAAAAACAATTTGGATTGCAGCTCATTGAGCATCTATGTTAGTAACCTTGAAAACCTTTCTGATACATCTGAGGATGAAGGACAAGCTCTAGACATATTCATTGATCAACTTTACGAGGAAATGGATAAAGGTACTTGAAGAATTTATATTACTCAACAATAATAGTTTTAGTGGGTTTTAAGTTGGCTAGTAAAGTTAAAACTTTAGTAGCTTTGGTAAGCTTTAATTTCCTTTCTAAATTTTCAATAATCCTTGACTTTCTTATCTTTGCTTTTTTTTCTTTTTTTGTACAGTTTCTGGTCAGTTTCTAAACTGTGAAGGCTCTGGATTGTATGCTCTTCAAAGTTCTTGTAAGTTCAACAGGAGTAATAAGGGGACTATAGAAATTTGGAGGTTTGAAATTTTTTATCCGGGACATATTTTTAGCAATGAATGACTTACAGTCTGCTTAGAGACTGCAACTTTAATGCTTGGTGATTGAGGAGACCTGGATGCATAAAATATCTGCAATTTTTTTTAAATTGATGTTTATGATTTTTTAGGGTTTACACCCTGGACTGTTGGACGTTTGGGAATTTGGGGGTTGCCTAATGGGACTTAAGGTTTTATAACCTGCCATGTGAAAACTATGGTAACACTACACATCTCTGTGCTACATGTATTATGGCCAGTGCCTTGCACTTGCACAAAGCCATATTACCTGGGCAATGGCAACCATGGACAACTGTTTCACCCTCAACCTCATTTGGACTTATCACTTTGAAATACCATGAAATTCTTAAAATAAGCCCCGGGGCCTATATTTTTCAAAGGCCCTTTTTGAGGGGCTTATGTACGGAGGGAAGTTTGCCTTTAAGAATCGATTGGGCTGTAGCCTATAGTTGGCAGATAATTTACCTTTTTTGCTTTTTTTGCTTCGTATTTTAGGCAAACTTCCAAGTACAAGCCCTCGCAGGGGCAATTTAATGGACGGTTTTTTGCAGTACAGGTTTGGGGGGCTTTTATTTAGAGAGGCTTATACATGGAGGGGCTTATTTTTGGAATTTTATGGTATCCCAATGGACATCCCATTTTCCCTTTACTGCCAGGGCAAAAGGCTACAAGTAGTGCAACATTTTCTTCAGAAAGAGTTGAACAACCAAATTAAAGAAGAGCACATTAAATCGCCATGCACAAGAGAAATGAGATGCAGATGAAGGAGGAAGGAGTTCCTTCTGTGTGTCACCTTCCTTGAGGGTTGTGATTTTCATGCGCACTTGCATATTTCATTCGCTATATTATCCTCGAGGAAAATGAGGGACTAATAATTATTGTAGTCATTTAAATGATGAGCCCAAATAAGGGAGAAACAGCTGTCCATGGCTGCTAATTCCCGTGTGATATGGCTGTGTTCCATACTGTGGAGAGTGACCATTGCTTTCAGATGGTTTTGTTATAACTTGGCCTAATTTACACTTATATGTTTTAGGTAACCACAGCTGTGAACCAAATGCAGAGGTTACATTTCCATTCAACAACTCAACACTAGTTTTAAAGGCACTTCACAGCATTCAACCAGGAGAGGTACTAACACTTCACGTCAGACTTGATCACTTAGCTACATGGCTGACGTTGGGCTGGTATAATTTATGGTACAACTAGTGGATTTTATTCTTTACATGCTTTATTAACAGCTTATTTGCTAGTTAGCGGTACAATTGACTGTTGTAATTAATTATTGTGCTATCTTGAAAAAAAAGCTCATATGTCAGTGTTCTGAGCGTATGTTTCTTTGTGGCTTTGTTGCTTTGTCTGTTTGTCTATGTGTTTCGCGGTGATTCGTCTGTCAGTTGATGCTAAGAACCAATTAGATTTTAGCATCTAAACTTTACAGTTGAAGGTCAAACAAGGGCACTTTGAGACCGCCATACTTCTGATTCGCTAAGAAGTAGTGCAACATTATTTTTAACCAATCACCAAGAATGTTCAAAGTTGAGGCAAACTAATCATTGGACCACTGTAAAGACTTAACTGAAAACCGCTCTTAAAAAGTGATGCAAAGTCCAGTGGTATTAAAAAAACTAGTAACTTCCGCATTTTCCATAATACACCTTGTTTGACCCCCCCAGTTTTTTTTTCTTCTGGGTATGAAAGTCCTACCAAGAGAATGTGAGGGGCTTCCAACAAGTTTGAGATATGGCAACTTTTTGGCAACTTCTCGTATTTCCAGCAACTTTTTCCATTTCGAGCAACTTTTTGCATCCTGAGCAATTTCTCTAGTTATCTTCTAATTCTGAGATTTCGGAGCAGCTTTTAGTGCTTAAATTGGCCTTTCTTCCCTATTTCGCAATGTTTTAGTTGACAATTTATGAATTTCCTGTAAAAAAAGGAGCAAAATCCTTCCCCCACCCCCCTAGGGCAGATCCTGGGTGCAAGATATAAGTGCCTGGGCTGCTCGTCAGTGGTTGTTAGGGAAAAATCAAAATGGTGGACGAAGATTCACATCCAACTGACTTGAGTGTCTCGGGTGAAGATCGTTGAAAAATTTTATTGGCTCATCACATTTTTTGGTTTTAATTTGAGGACAAAGTTATTTAGCAACGCTGGTTACGCCGGAAAACTGCACAAAAATACTTAGAAATCTTACTTTTGTTGTACAATTTGTATATTTTAACATCAGACAAAGGAAAGTTTTGCTTTTCGAGCAACGTTTGGGCAACTTCCGTTGCAAAAAGCAACTTTTGACCAACGTTTTGAGGAACTACGGGAAACTTTTTGGAAACTCTCGAGCAACTTGTGGAAAGCCCTAAAAAGACCCGTTTCGAATTATTAAAATCCATACTTGGCTCCGAGGCTGAATTAAGGGAATAAAACAAAAGAAATGAATTCTTCATCCCTGAATTTGCATTCTATTAATTCGCAGGAAATTGTGATTTGTTACCTTGGAGAGTGTGACAGAGACAGAAGTCGTCATTCAAGACAACGATTACTCAGGTATCTATACCGGTTGTACAACTTACGTCTATCATATTGCGATGGATGATGGATATGATGTACAATGAACTGAAAATGGCACTTTCGGCATACGAGTTGCAATTGTCGTGTGCTGAAATGTAAATGTTTTAACTTCAACAAGCGTTAATAGGGAGCTAAAATGGACCTTACGAAACTACGACGGCGAGGGCAACGGTAACGTTAAAAAGCAGTAGGTTTATTTAGCAAAACAACAACTCTGCACGTGCATCACGCTTTTCTGTACATTTCTTTGCCGTCCCTGCACGACTACGACGTGAAATGACCAAATTTTAAGTTTTTTTGAGGACGGGAATGGCAAGGCGATTAATTCTACCATCTCTATCTGAACTCGGGAGTGGCCCCCTCTCTTCAGCTCCAACATAAATTCCCCTCTTTTAAGTAACTGGGCAACTTGGGATAATCACGAAATGGTTTGAAAGGATGCGGAGTCTATTTTTCAGGGACGTTTCCATGGACGTCGCCGTTGTCGGATCGTAAGGTCCCTAAAGCAGCAACGACGGCGACGGCTACGAAAACGTCACTTGAAAAGTGAATTCGCGCTGCTTCAAACTTTATCGCGCTTATTCCATCTCGTTTACTTCGTCAAATGTTGGCAAATGTTTTTGGAGTTCAATTCTAAAGGACTGTATCAAAGTTCAGGAAAAGAGAATGAAAATTGTTGTTTTGTGTTCCCGTCCTCGACAAAACGTGAAATTAGGCGTTTCCACGTTGTAGTCGTGCAACGGCGGCAAAGAAATGTACAAAAAAGCGTGATGCACGTGCAAAGTTGTTATTTTGCCAATCTAAACCTATTGGTTTATTGCTGTTCTCGTTGCCGTCGTTGCTTAAGCTCCCTAATATAACTGAGGCTGTGGATGAAAGCCTGTAAACATTCAAATAATTCAAAGCTATTGAGTTGTACTTTGCTGCGGTGCTGCGTATTGTGTTGTACATGGTGGTTCTAACGTTTTTCTCTGCGTATGAAACTTAGGACCTGTTTACATGGAGGTGGGGGACCCCATGTAGGTGAGGTAACCCGCTAAGGTGGGGTAACCCGCCTGTCCATACAATCTCTCATCACGTTTACATGACAGGTGGGGTGACCCGCCAAGGCGGGTAGCCAGGTCTGCCAGACCAGGTAACCCTCGCAGCCGGGGTCAAATTTTGCCATGTAAACGTTTCAAGGTGGGGTAACCCGCCTAGCCGGGGTCGGATTCGCGATACTGAATTCCCGCAAAATTCACTTTGGCGGTAGCTTTGCATCATTATTAAAGGTAACAATAGAAAGCCACAGCACTGGAGCTTGCAGCAAGAGCAGCAAGCGAGTGTAAAAAAGCATCAATCACCAAAAAACGTGGTTCGCCAGCACATTTCTTGTTTACGTGCTTAGCGACCATTCAGTAATCTTGAGAAAGTGCACCCGGGGATGGCGGGGTTGTAAGATTCCATGTAAAGGAGGGTTATTTTTTTACGCCACCGAAGGGGGTTACCTCACCTATCTGGGGTCCCGCACCTTCATGTAAAGAGGCCCTTGTTTAGGGCTTGTGTAATGGCTGTCTCGTTCAGTTTGTTTTTGTTGCCAATAGACCTTTTTACCGATACGGCGGCCATATTGAACTAATTCGATTTAAGGAGTATTATAGGATGCCCAGGGGGCATGAGCACATTTCGTTTGTGTTTTCGGGCGCTTTTCGGGACATTTTTCCTAAAGTTTTCTTAGAATAAGATTGTAATGGGAAAAAAGATCCTTCTGCCGTGTTTGGATGTAATAATGATTGCCTTTTTCTAGTTAAGTATTAGCAATATGGTCTTTGGGAAAAAAATTTCTTGTGAATGGCAAAATCTTATTTTAAGAAAAGTCTCAAGCGCTCGAAAATACAAACGAATGTGTGTCTATAAAAAAAATTTATCATCTATTACGAGTCCTTATTTGCTGCTTGTGAATGACAAAATGTCAGCTAGGTGTCAAACAAATTTATCTTCCAACCATTATGTCAAACGTTACAAACAATAAAAATGAACTTTATAAAACCACAATTGCAATCCGTTTCAATCTTCTTGAAGTTTGTCTACCGTTGCCTCCTTTTGTAATTGCTTTCATATTTATACCTTCTTTAAACGTTTTGAATGGTTATTTTTATGTTTCACTCAATTTGGTGGCGTTTCTTACTGTTTAAATGTGTTAAATTGCGTGACACAGCTTCTTTAAACATTTTCATTTGTCTGTAACAGATTGATTGTCCCGTTTCGTTATTACACTACGTTATGTTTACAGTACGCTATTCTTCAGGGCATTGCAGATTGACCATATCGCATGCGGCTTCTTGGGTTTACGCTGCGTTTTTTTTTATGTAGAGAAAATTACCTGTTTACCTGCACTTGTCCAAAATGTGAATCTGAAGCTGGCGATCCAGACGTCACGTCAAGCGAAGATGAAGACGATTCAATGGAAGAAGACGCCTAATCGCATACATGATCGCCATTGATGTCATCGATCACTCGTGGTGTTAATTCGCCTTCACACCTGTCTCGCATCGCATTTCATACAGTATACCCGTAATACGGTGGCAATCACCTCCTGCTCAAACAGATGCAAACAGCAATTAATCAGGAGAACATAGGAAGGTTGAACAGCCTCCCCGGGGAGCCAACCTCGTCGCCCGCCAGCCCTCGGGACGAGGTTGCCCGGGGAGCTGGTATCGTTCAGCACGCTCCGAGTCATGTGAAGGAATATCAGCTGTTAGATCGCGCGCCTTGTCGTGGGATAGAAAGGGAGACAAGTCGTGATATCAAGCAAGTAGGAGTTGCTCGAGTCCCAATTCATTCTCGCATAACGAAAGAGAAAACCATTCCAGAGACTGCTAGTGTGGGACTGCTCACGGGCAAATCCAAACACTAAAAGAGCATTGAGGCTAACCCTGAGCTTCATTTGTTCGCGTTCAGTGACCTTCAATCTCTTACCTCTGCAATTCTTTTTTTTTCTCAATGACCACTTATCCCTTGTAAATTGTAATGTTTCGCGCAATCACTTACCGTGTCAAGAACTCAGTTTCTTTTCTTCCTTTTCTTACATGTATGTCACTGGATGACCAGCAAAAGATTTTTGAGGCTCTTAAAGCGTCTAACTAGAAGATTTTTACCGTAACCACTGTACTAATAACGGCCGTTTTTCCTGGTTTCTTTTAGTTGTTTGTTTGTTCTGTTTAGACCAATTTCATCCAAATCACCATATTACAGGTTAGGCCCGGTTCAAACGCCGAATTTTTCATGAGCCGAACCTAATACATTGAATTAAATAAATGAAGAGTTCGGCGTCTGATCAATTAGGAACGCCTATTTCAATTGGAATGACTCAGCCGTTCTTCCCGCGTAGTCCCGCCGGGAATTTCGTCTGTTGACGACTTTGGAACGACTTTGATTGAGACGCTGAACTTTTCATGTGCCTAACCTCTAATGCTTAAATTATAATAACGTATTTTGCAAGCAGTTTGACCAAAATGACTATTTTTCTCCTTTTGAATTCAGTTTGGCTGGAATTAAGATCGGCGTCTGAATCAATTCAGCTAGTCTGAATAGTTTGGGTCGGCCTTAATTCGAAGCAGGTTCGGCTCATGAAAAGATCGGTGTCTGAACTGGAGCTTGTGGCTTAATCCAAAACCAATCGTCACTTATTCGCTCACTTGTTTCCTCGGGCTTGGCCCCGGTAGATCGCGTTTTGCTGACAAATTCAAGTTGATTGTCCCAAATTATCACTGAAAATGCTCTGTAAACATCCGATAAATGTTTGCATGTGTATCTTCTTTGCCTGGTGTGGAAAAAAATGTTTTTAATTTGCTCAGTCAAACTGTGATAAACGAACGTATTTGTGAGGTTGCTGTAGACCCCCAAAATAGAGAGCCTTAGATTCCAGGACGAGAACGACTGCAAGTACGAAATTCAAGTTAAATTTGCGTGTGTTCTAAAGAAAAAACCGGAAAGCTTCATTTTCCTTTTTTTTTTTTTCATCAAAGAACTTAGTACGGTTATTTATAGTAAAGGAGGTTAAGCCCTCCCCTGATAGCAAAATGATAAAACTTCTTACATTTGAAAACTTGTTCCTGCCACTTCGACATTCTCGCTGAAGCTCGTAGTTGAATGACGACGGCTATCAAGTTCTCCCGCCAAAATGACGCTGGTTCACGCGTGAGCAATACTCACTGTTGAGAAAATCTCGTACTCGTAGTCGGCCTCGTCTCAGAAATAGCTCAACCTATGGGGTTGAAAGCGTGCATCTGCAGAATAAAGAGGAACTATTCTAAACCCAAGACGACCAATACTAGCCTGAGAAAACAGTCAACATCATTTCGCTACGCCACCACTGGTACTCCCGCGAGATGACGTCTGAGAAACGACCGCAGAAATTCCATAGTGATGACGCGTCTCTACCCAGATCCAATCTCATCCAGTCAGAAGCACTGCCCAGATCTGGGCAGTGACGCGTCATAACTGTGGAATAGGCCTTTTTGCATTAGTTGATCACTGATCAACTTTCGGTAAACACGAAAACAGTTCGCTTTAGTAACATTTTGTTAGCAGGAACTGAAAAAGGTAACCTGTAAATTTTCAGCCGTATATCTCAAAAGTAGCGATTGCAACGGCCGCCGAAAATTAGAAAGATTTAGGAGAAAAACAACTTTTGCCACCCAGTCACGCTTGAATGGTTTTCCATACAAATCATTGTAAATTTTGAAATTTTCAACTGTCGTGAAATATTACGGGGCTCAAATCCCCTTCTTTTAATCCATAACAGACACTTTGAGCCCTTAAATGCGTAAGGGAAAGATTTAACGACAGTTTAAAAATTTCAGAATTATCAAGGAGTTGTTTGGTAAACCAATGATCCTATTTATTATAAGAGTCATTGTCAAGTCATTTTTATAAAACTTTTTGATTAATTCGGGTACAAAGAGTAGGGTTATGTTTTAGTCCAGAAAGGAATACGTTTACGTTATTATGTGTTAGGCTCGTTCCGGAGTTGAAAACTCAAGGTTTGATAAGAGAAAGGTTCGTTGCATTCAATTCCAAAATATGCCGATTTCAGTCTTGTTCCGTGATATGACCACCGCCTAAAACCAGTCACTCGCTGCAACGACATTATCCCTCTGACATTAAATTCCATAATGCTATGAATTGAACTCTGAAATTAAACGATGTCAATACCTTTATCGTTCAGTGTTAAGAATCGGTGAAATTAACCAGGTGATCGACTAAATGATCCATAGATCGAACTGCGAGAATAAATGAATGAACTAATTAATAGCTATGGTTGTTTTTGTCGTTTTTGTGTAGACTAGTGGTGTGGAATTTCATCATCTTGATTTATCCCATGAACTAAGATAGGTGTCAATTTTGTGCAGTTTTAGTAAGGGTACATGAATTGCATATATATATATATATCTCCAAAAAAGATAGGGTTACCCCAACCCCCCCCCCCCGAAAAATAAACCCAAAGTTGGCCTTTTCTTTTCTTTTGTCTTGCATAAAATCAATATTTCATTCTCACAAAATAACAGTAGCTACAAAAATTCTGCAAGAATAAGAACCAGTTGTAAACATGAGCTAGTTATATAATTAATTTGGGTGAACTCAGGTCAGCGTGATCTTTCTCTCTCCGTAGATTAAACCACTGAACTGTCATTCTATCAGGTACTTGTTCAAAAAAGTTGTAGAGGGAGATAATTATAGTTCTGTGTAGAAATCCCGGCATATTCTGAAGTTGTAAAAAGCTGAATTTTGCTTCTTTCGTGCATAGAAATATAAAGGGAGTGTTATATTAAAAAAAAATTCGGTAATTTGTTTAATTTAGAAACTGAAATCATGAGGCGGATCACTGTTAAATTTATTGTGGTCAGGGAGGGTGAGTACTATTGGCTACCAAGAGGAAGACATTTGCACCACATTTCATGACATTTTTTAGCTCAATTAAAGTAAACTAGTTCAAGACTTGACAAGTATCTGGTGATAATCATGGGCGCGCTAAATGCTTGGCTTACGCCCTTCACAGCGTTTATATATATAATTAGTCTGTGCTTTCTCAGTAAACAGGAGAAAGGCGCAACTGCCACCTTGCACTGCTACTCGTGTCTCGTCTTTCCCTCGAGTCACGGAGACAGTTAATTGACCGAAAACAACCAAATGAATATTCACTCATCAATGCAGTGCTTAATTTCTAAAGACCTTCTTTGGGAAGGCACATTAAATACTGTGCATTCTTCAGTACTGGAGTTCTCATTTTCACCAGGGGCCGCCAGTCTCAGGGGCAGTCGATACGTTCGGTGTGTAAAAACATTACGTTTCTTAATTTCGAGCCGGGCGCCAGCAACGTAGCTTTCGGGGTGCAGTGGAGAATAGTGTCAATACTGCATGTACGAGAATAGGCACAAGGAGGGCTATTTCACGACATTTTCTGTCTCAACTGAAATAAAAGAGTTCAAGACTTGACGTAACACCACGTATGACAATCATGGGCTCACTATATGAGCATCTGCCCTTAGGCGCTTCAATTCTCAGCCATTTAAACTTAGTCTGTGCTTTCTCAAGAGTACACTGGAGAGTCGGGCAGTCTTGTGTCTTCCTCGAGTAACGAAGACTGTTAATTGATTAAAAGCAACCAAATTGATGCTCCAAAAATAATATATGCTGTTAATGAGTCATGATTCTTTCTTTGACTCAGGGGTCAAACGTTCCACGGAGCACAGATACAACCATTACCCCTGGTGAGTTAAGCAGCCAGGACGGGGATAGCATCGAAAACGTCATTTATTGTGACGGTTATCTCAACTGGCTGGATAGGTCAATTGTTGGCTGATTTTCCTGGAGCTGAATTTTAGGGCAGGCATCATGAAAGTTTCAAAGAAAGAAGAATTTATCGTGGAGTCTTAAAGGTCCTTAAGTCCTCTATAAAACGTCACGTTCGGAAAGTTTCACGTTCTAGTCCAGTGACGGCGAAGAATTGTACTAAAAAATGTGATGCCCGTTGCGTTGCAGAAAGGGAACTTGTTGTTTTCGTTCCCGTTCCCGTTCCCGTCCCCGTCGGTTTGTTTGAACTCGCTAATAAGTTCTCAAGTCGCACTGACGCTTGAAGTGTGGACTTCAACCCGCCGGCTGGTAAGTTACACTACCACCCGTTATCACTATTACAACTTATACCACCTCAAGTCTTCCATTGAGAAAGGTTTAAGTCCGTCTAAATCTTCGAAGGCCAGAAAACCTTGTAGTTGATTACGTCGTGTGCAGCAATTGTATAACGCTGAAACTAGAGTATTGCTGTTTCCGTAATTGGAGTCTCCATTTCAAATTGAAAATCTAAAAACTGTGATGTATCTGCAGATTTCAGTGCGACTTAAAATTTTAACACTTCAGAATCGAAGCTCAAAAATTAACAAAATTTGAATGTTAGAAGTTAACATATCGCCCTCGCCTGGTAACAGAGGCTTGTGCAAACGCAACACTGACACGAAAAGATTGAATGAGGTGTTTTCTATGAAAGATTATTAAGCAATGTAACTACCAAGACAACTGAGCCACTCCAAAAAAATGACAAAAACTTTAATATGCAATTATAAAATCATTCTGGGTTGGAAAGCCATACTCGACTGTGAACATTTCACAAATAGTTTGGAAAAGAAGTAGCAGAAATAATCATGAGCATGCAAAAAGACTGAAAGAACAAAGGTGGATGCTTTCAAAAGGTTATCAATTTCGTGGTTCGTGCAGTGTTCTCTAATGACTGCTGTATTTCACATCAGCGTCCACAGCATATGTTACTACGTTAATAGGCATTTCCATATTTTCCCTTGTCATTTTATATGCTCGGAATTTTGAGTTCGGCAAAGGGCCGCTGATAAAACAAGAGATAGAATGTAAAGTGAATTTCCATGTAAACATCAAACCCTCATAAAAAACAACTTGGGCAATCGTTGAGGTGCGAAATTTAACGCCACTTTCACACCTTCGTAATTTTATTTCCCCTTGGTCCGTTAAGCAACACTTATAAATAGATAATCCTAGGCTTTGACCAACTGAGACATTGAAAAGGCTTTGGATTTTTAACGCCCTAAATTATTTTGAATACGAATCTTGTCGGAAGGGATTTGTTTAATCTTGCAACGAACGACGAAGTTCAGTTTCGATGCGTTGAAGATCGCTGAACAACAAGAAGTAAATTCCTTTCCTTAAATTTGTCGCCAATATGAAACACATTAGCGAAAAATGCTGTTGATCATTTTACCAGATGTTTGTGAGGTGACAAAACCCAACGCAAAACATTTCGCTCCGGAATGATTTGTCAGATCTCCTAGACTGCGAGAACAAATCTATTAAGGCCTAGCCTTGACAACACGCCTCTGATAAGCCTAGAACTTGTCTAAATCCAACATCTGGGAAATCTTGCCCATTATCAATTAAGCTTCTGGTTCGAGCAAGCTATGTTTAAAAACATAGGAATTTGATTGACGTGAAAATTATCCAAATTAGCGATTAAACATCCTTGTAAATGGCCGCTGGGTTCATCTAGCTCACGAACCAATGACTAAGTGCAATGAAATATCGTTTATCGTCAGAACCAATAGAAAGTGGTTTTAGAAGTTAAAATGACGCCTGTATTTGTCAGCAAATTTTGCTAATTGCCTTTATCATCAATTCAATCGCCTTATTGATTTTATATGATATGTCATACTCACACAGGCGGTAGTCCTTTCATGGTCTGTTTTGTCCTAAACCTGTCAGATAACTTCAGCAGTTTTGCGACAATTGTTTCAAGCTGCCACAAGTTATAACATCACTTGATTGCATTCAAGCGCGATTTCATCCGGATATTAAAGCACTTAAACCACCGCCAGAGTTGTGAAGCATGGCTTCTGTTGGAACTTGGCATCAACATATTTACAACAGCTCTCCAAAGCAACCTACCCCACACTTTGTGGCCAACATACTTGGGCTTTATTCGGGGCACCAACCGAACAGCTCAACAGTCGGTTGCCCTCGACAAGAACAACCGCCTGGTAAATTGCGTCGAGTTAAAGAGAGAGAAGCGAAACAAAAATACAACGAGCAGAATGATTCGGCACCCGATAGCAAGGAAAAGGAAATTCGGGTGCAATCAAAATCAGATACGAAAGGTAGGTGTCTTCATGCTCCGTTAATGGGCTCGGAAATTTGTGGCGGGTTAATCGATGCGGATCAATTTTCTAAACGGTTCTCCGCTTGCTCCCTCTTTATAGAGTCTTCGACAGTTCATTCCAAGGAACTCAAGAGACTTAAAGGGAAAGCTGGTAGAGAAAAAGTCAGAAAGAAAAAAGCCCGAACAACGTTCACGGGAAGACAAATTTTCGAGTTAGAAAAGCAGTTCAAAGAGAAGAAATATCTGACTGCCACCGAGCGCAGCGATATGGCCTCTCTGCTTAATGTGACTGAAACGCAAGTCAAAATTTGGTTTCAAAACAGGAGAACGAAGTGGAAAAAGCAGGAGAAGATATGCGAAGACAACAATGAGAACGAAAAGGATTCACAAAGCGACAATTCAGACAACAAAGATAGTGTATCGTCGGAAATTTGTGTCGACAATGACGATAAAAGTTCGGACTTGGATGAGAGCGGTTAGCGGAGACTTCTTCCGATTATTTATTTTACACACATAAACTCACGGCTTCAAAATTTGACCATTATTTGTCACTGTACGGACTTTAGAGCAAAAGTAATATTGTACGGAGTTTTATGATTGGTTTAATTGCATTTTTTCATCCTACGAGAATTATGACAATTATCTATACAATAGTTTTGTTCTTACATAAATTAAGAAAACTATTAACGAGCTTCTAAACGGTGGTAAAATCCTTGAATTGTCTTGAAATTGCTGGTCTACCATATCTCTGAACAATAGACAAATCTTTAATAACTATTGTAAAGGTTCTTGAGCTAGGAGCTAAAATAAATGGCCCCAGACAGGAAGCAATTGAGAAACAAACCTCCCTTTAAATGAACTCCACTTGTTCGCACGCGCATCGTGGGGTCTATTTGTTTTGGACTTTTTAGCTAGCTGAAGATAGTTCATTGAAGTGGAGAATGCCGCTAAGACAGGCAAGTCCAGTAATAAACTAAATCGCTAACACTGTAGTTATTTCCTAGGATAATGTATCATAAAAGTAATTTTATGCCACAGTAGTTGGCAATTAACTGAAGTAACCAGCTATTTACAGAAAATATTTCAAACATCTAACAGTTCCGAGACCCTTTTTCGGCTCAGTCGGCGAAATAGTTACCACAATCACAAGACACCAGACCTACAGCTCAGTGAAATGTCCAAATTATATTGGTATTTAGTACTGGTTAAAGCTGACCTCATATGCGGGACAATTAAATTCTACGGCAAGTTTTACCAACCGAAAAGACGTTATATAGAGTGAAATAGTAGTGGTCTTAATTATTCCTCATGTCTTCACCACACCACTAGCAGTTCGGCCGACATATGTTCACTTAACACAGTAAATATTTTCAATTTGCGACCATCTGCTCTGAGCCATATCTTTTACTACTCTTCGAATTGATGCCTTTGTTTTATAGAATTGTGTCCCTTTGTTTTGAGTTCAAATTTTCATGATTTAATAATAGGTGGAATTTTCTATAGTCAAAGTCAGTGCAGGGGTATTACTAACACATAAAAACTATCAAGTGATATAAAAAGTTGCTTGCAATCTAAATTAGAACTTTGTGCCTGTTTCATAAACAGCAGATAGAGTTAATTGTAAACAAATGGGCTTCATTATTATTTGAAAATAATTTAGCTTGCGGCCTTTTAGGGTTTCAAAGTGGTATGAACTGTTTTTATTTATGCGTGGTTTCTTTCGCACATGGAGCATTGTAATCAGTCTTTTATAAGTGTACGGCTTGAGAATGATGATTTGAAAGTTGAACTCCGTCTTGTTCCGTTCAATTTAAACGCGTTTGCATGTAATTTCTAGTATGGGCTGTGTTAAATTGGACATCTGGAACCCCAAAGTGGTGTCTTTAGGCATGATCTGGCTAGCTGTTATGCATTTCTTTAAAATAACGTACATGAATGTAAGCTCACTCTACTTGTGTCCTATTAGCGCTACACGTAACCGCAAGTTTTAAGGAAACCACACGCCTTTTGTTGTAGAGGAGACTTAAAAAATACTTAAGTTCCGAAAGGGAAGTTTGCATACTATTTGCATAAACGGTTTCCGAAAAGAAAGCTGCGTTGTATTTCTATTTACATGAAACTCGGCGAACTTGATGGTCTAAATGGTCGCTGATTTTTAAAAGCAATTTCATCATTTTTCAAAGTAAACACTAAAATTTCATTGTGTCTTAATTAACCTTTTCCAACCTCAAGTCAAATTTTTAAATTAGGCGAAGTAGAAAAGATTTCTGAGAATTGATGAATCAAGAAATGCGCCAGATCACCAACTCGACTAATAACTGAAACCTGATAATCATTATTTCAAATTGTTCATGTTTGTCAAAATCAAGTTAAAGAAAAATGGATTTGACTAGTGAGTTTTCAAGTTCTATTTCGAGAGCTTTTGGTTTCGAATAAGTAATTGAGACGCGTTGAGAAAATCGCTTATGGGACTCTGAATTATTTGCAAGATGAAGACAATGAATGACAGCCTGCCATGCAGTTGACTAAGAGACATTAAATTTGAAGGAAAGCTAAACTGTGAAGAGTCAGTAATGAATCCGGTTGAAAGACGTGTTGTAACATCTCTTGAAAAATAAGTTAACAAAGAATGGTTAAGAACCGGAAGAGTGGAAAATGAAAGGTAATATTGTAAAAATAAACCTTTTTACATCGTTCTTGAATCTTACATGTTAATGGTTTCAGCAGAACGAAAAAACGAGCAAGGCTTGTTATTGTCACCAGACTAACACTCTTGTACTCTGTCGATAAAAGGTCTTCCAACCAGTTCGATGATTTCTTTTGTTTGTCGATTGGTGATGTGCTCGGACATATGCACTTCGAACATACTAATGGACTCTCTCAAACAATTTGCTCTGTCCATTTACAAAATTAAACAAACACTTTTAGTAGCTATGTCAAGCAGGAGACAACGTATTGCCGTATTTTATCTAAAAATTTGTAGTTAAAATGCTTAAACGGTATACGCGGTTGGGTAAACGATTTGCTGCAATTGAATTATAGTTAATGGGCCGCGAACTGAAATCCCTCGGATTACTTTTGCAAAATGCCGGATATGCCCAAAACAATTTTATCAAATAATGAATTTGCTCCAGAAAAATGCTTAAAGTTAGTCGATGTATCGTGACAGACTTGTGAGCTGTTAAAAGTGTTTTATCTGATAGATTGTATACCACCCACTATTTCTGTGGGCAGAAGTCGGGTTAATTGAGCTAGCATATCACAGTTCATAGTGTGTTTGCAAGAAAACGTGTTGTCAACAATTTAATATGGGACAAGGCCACCTTCCCTCGCTATTTTAAATGCTTTTTACTACAACTACAAACTGCTGCTTCTCAAGCAATTTCAACCATGTGCAATCGATTAATAAAATATATAATCTTTCGTCTCCAGTGGAGCTATTGTGTTAAGCCATTTAGCGGCTTCTTTGAGTTGGCTTAACTTCAAACAAAGCGTTGATCACAAAGATAAACAAATGTGAGAAACATTACACCTAACGTTTAACTGAGGCGCTGTGAAAATCACTTAATGTTTATCTTCTGGTGAGAAAGCCATCAACACACCGCCTCCGGGGACAAAATTCACGTTAAAAAGCTCACAAAATTTAAACACTCAAGTGACTTGAGCTGCTCCGTGTGAACAATTGCGCGTTTATCTATTAAGCAAAGCGATTTGGGCCCAGATAGCGGTAATTAAAAATTTTGACAATCGGATTAACGACCAATGAAAAGCCATAACAAACAATTCTTTCTTCTTTATTGACTTGGTCGGTTTTGCTGATAAAGCCTTAATTGAGCATGAGTAGGATCGATTTCTTCTTAATCGCTGCAGCTCAATTGACTAGTTACTCTCCACTTTGCCCTTAAATTGGAACTTTTTAAGGACAAGTCGTGTATTTTCCGTCCCCATCTTGAGAAAATTGACGTTCTGCGCGCGTATGGAATGATTTTACCAGCAGTAGAAAGCGTTATGTGTAAAGAGCTTACAGACAGTGTAGACATGGGTGCATTCCAAGAACGACATTTAAGTCTCCTCTTAAAGATGAACCTCGACAGCTTGTTAAGATTACCAAGTGATCTTGAAAAGGTCGGCTTAACAGTTGATTGATTTCTGATCTATCAACCAAGGCAAAAAGCTTTCGGAAATAATGTGGAAAGGCAACTGATTATTAAAAAGACCCCGATGAAATTGTCCAAACAACACTGAAAGATTCCTTATTTTCCAGCCTTTTTTCTTCTAAATTGCTGAAATGGAATCAAATATGGCATATTGTACACTCGATCGCACCAAAATATTGTCACAGAGTTTTGTGTGTTTGACACTTCTACATTCCAGCCTGAATAGCATCTGCCACGAAAGGACTCGAAAATGAGCATCGCTGAACCCCTTTGGCGAACTTAATCACTGGAATCTGTTGCCGGATATCATTGTTTATCGACAGTAAATATTCTAGAAATTCAATTTTCCAAGATGATTTTAGTCATTGTATCGTTTTCTCTTTTATTCAGATTCTGTTTTGATTACTTCTTTTTGTTGCACAAGAATTTATGGCGAGGAACACGTGAATGAGTCCCGCAAATTGTAGCGTAGAGTAAACAACTGTTTTCCTTGATTAGAAGTGTTTTCATTTCAGCTTTAAGTGTTCTAGGTAGGGTTTTTCTTGAACACCTAATTGGATTGAACGTTCTATTTTGGCCTCATGACTCTTAACAAGCGGTTAAGCTGATTAAACATTTCCGCTTTTGTTTTTATTTAACGTTTAAGCCTTGTTATCTATTCACAGAATACTATTTAAAACTACTTTAGTAAGCTTGTGATTTTTAATACTGATTTTGAAAAGCTGTTTTCCGGTCAAAACTAAACAAACTCAAAGTCATATCAAATAAAGAGAATCCAGTCTACAAAAACAGCCCCCTCCAGGGGGTAGAATTGTCCGTTCTTTGAAGATCTTTGAAGAAGGTAGTTCAAAGGAGGTTGGAATTATTCTAAGGCTCTTATGGGCAATGTAAAGTTGTAGCTGGCGGCAAATCGTATTACGGTTTTCAAAACAACACTCTAGATTAACAGACTAGGCTCTTGAACAGTAAACTTTCCTCATATTGAGATCAGAGCAACTAATCCAAAGACAAAAAGCTTTTCCAGTTCCAATATCTGTAAAGGACCAACGTTAACAACAAAATATGACCAAACTCGGGAGATACTGGGGCCATTTATACGAGGAAAAATAAGACGCGTCTTAAATAAGACGCGAACTTTCCGTATAAACGGCACATTTCGTCTAAAATAAGACGCGGCTTAGCTAAGACGCGTCTTATTAGATAAGTCATGCTCGTATAAATGGTACAGTTCGCGTCTTATTTAAGACGCGTCTTATGTAAGACGCGTCTTATTTTTCCTCGTATAAATGGCCCTACTGTTCGCTTAAGGGGGCATTCTCGGGTTGCCATATTTTTTTGGGGGGGAGGGGGGAATGATGTTGATTCGGAAAGGAAATAAATAAGGGTAGAAAAGGTATACAGTCGAACCCCGCTCTACGGACACCCGCTTAATATTACGGACAGTTTGCTTTGTCCCTGGGGAAAGAAACCCTTTCACTTTCTCTAAATTCTACCCGTTAAATACGGACACCCGTTGATGCGGACAACGAACACTCGTTTCTAGCCCAGTGGACAGATTCTCGTAGAAAGTTAACCTCTCTAATGCGGACACTTCATTTATTTATCAACTGTGTGTTGTGACAAACCTTTCCTTTTTAAAGGTAAAAAACCTTCAGTTAACAACATATCGATGTTCCAAGGCATACAGTAACCGGATAGAATGATTTCTAGACGTCAATTTCAAACTATTAATTTTCAGGCATCAAACTATTTTGCTCTAACAAAAACTGTTTTTTGACTTAAATAACATGACCCCCTTGTCACGGACAATTTCCATGGCCCTGTTCCTTGTCCGTTTTAACGGGGCGTTGGCTGTATACATAAACCAGTTAGTTTAGTTAGTTCGCTAATGAGCTCAGAGGAACCTTCATTGTGTTGATGTTGATATTTTAGTTTTCAACAACCCCCAAATCCAATATTTCCAATTTTCCACAATTAAACAATCTCCGCTAATTTGTATACGATAAAAACATTCGAAAAATCATCCAACAAGTTTTAAAAAGTTATTAAACCAAGGACTTCAAATTAATGGAGTGATTTTTTTCTAGCTAAACTTCAGCCAATTGCAAACTTAGTCTAGTTATTAAGACATTGTACAAAAACCGTTTTCTTAATCGTAGGGGAAGAAATGTTTTCAAAACAAGCACAAGTAGCCCAAGCTCGAAATATGAGCATCGGCATTGGTAACATTCGAGATATAAGGCCCGTTTCAAACTAAATTGATCGAATTATATTCGACTTTAGCACGGCAGTAGCTCGACTTGGTTTCAAACGTCGCGCAACTGCCGTGCTGAACTCAATTCATAAATTATAAATACATTAGAATACATTTAAAGTTTGCTAAACCGTTTCTTTATTTCTGTGTTTTGTTTTCGGCAACAGCCGTTCTATTCGACTGAATTGAACTCGACGTGTCGTGCTAGTGTCGTGCTGCAGTCGAGCTACAGTCGAGCCCGCCTGGCTTAGCACCGAAGTAGCACGACGTCTGAAACAGGCCTTAGTTTTCATTACAGCTACAGCAGGGTCATGGGCTCCTGCCTACAGAAAACCAACCAAACAAAAATACTCAAGGTAGGTTGTATCCAGGATCCGAAACTGTTTTTTGGCAGTACCTCTTTATCAGGCAAATTGCCTTGAGGCATTTAAGCGAGCTTTAAAGGTATAACGACCAAAATGGTGTTCATCAGTCCTCGAATGATTCAGGTCTCTCGCCGGTTTTTCCTATACAAATTCTTATATTGCGAATGTTACGCAACAATTGCGATGCTCTAATTCCGAGCTTGAGCTACCTGTGATGCTAGGGATTTTCCCAGTCCCGGCTCTCAGTTCAGCCATTCAAAAGTTGTCATTAGAG